TATTGGTGTTGGACACAAGCCAATACATGCATTGGTGTTGGACACAAGCCAATACATGTATTGGTGTTGGACACAAGCCAATACATGTATTGGTGTTGGACACAAGCCAATACATGTATTGGTGTTGGACACAAACCAAAACATGTATTGTTGTTGGACACAAACCAATACATGTATTGGTGTTGGACACAAACAAATACATGTATTGGTGTTGGACACAAACAAATACATGTATTGGTGTTAGACACAAACCAATACATGTATTGGTGTTGGACACAAACCAACACATGTATTGGTTTGTGTCCAACACCAATACATGTATTTTTAGAGAAAAGGGGGCCATCTACAGAATTTTGCAGCAGTCCAGAAGTTTGAACTTACCAGAACCTGTATCCCCTCTTTTACCACCAGAGTGGCATCATAGGTGGCCTCACAAACTCTCACCACAGTGGTGACGCCATATTTCTTCAGCTCCTGCAGATATGTTGCAAAAGAATTATGTATGATCAAAAACAACACTATCATCTCAAAAACAATCCAAGTAAAGCCTCGGTCAACATTACAGCTGCACAGTATAACGCAGATTTATAATCATCATAACTGCCTGTGCAATAGGTATATCGCAAAAACTGCAACAAATGGCTGGCCCAAATATTTGCATTTGTGCTTTCTGTCAAACCAAATGAACCTGACACCGAGTGGAGAAAATAAGACAAAAAAACAAACAAACAAAAATAAAAATAAAAACACCAACACTGCATATACTGAAGTATTTGTTCAAGTCATATCATCATTGCAATATTAAGCACTGTTATCCCACATAGCAGTTTTTTTTTTGATGATATGAAGTCCTATTCAACATCATAGTGTTCTCTAGAGCTTTTAAAAGGAGTCGGACATAAAACCACGTACTCACCTCAATGAATTTGTTCAGGGTGGCGTTGGTGGGATTGTGGGTAATGAGGAACCTCATGTTTTTGTAGGTGATCTCGACAGGGGCTGGTCTGTTCATTCGGGCCATTGTGATGTTAAAAAAAAGGCTTCCAATTTATAATAACTCTCAAATGGATACTACAGAGTAAAAATATGAATGTAAACTGTTAAACCTGGAGGGAAGTTTTCAACACAACTGTCCAATGAGCTTTGGCAAGCCCAGGAAAAAACAAAAATCCTATGATGGTCTGAGTTGGCTAAAACTAACAAAAAACAAAAGACACACGGAAAAAAAAAGGTAAAAACAAAAAAAGGCTGGTTCCACCTTGGTTGTGGACGGGTGGAAGCCGACGAGGGCAGTGTGCAGCAGGTGGAGTTACCCCATCCAGGCTGAGTTATCGCTGGTTCTGGGAGGGAGGCGTCCCGTTCAGGCCAACTTCCCGGGGTCCCTCCTGTGGCTCAAGTGTGTCAGATAAATGGCAAGGTTGGGTGTTCACTGGTCTGCATAGGCAGCGTGCTGAGCCTGGCAGTAGTCTCCACTGCCCTTCAGAAACTCCATAAATGTGTGACCCAGAACACCACAGAACTGCTGTTAGGGACGACAGAAAGACAAAACAAAGAAAATAAACAACAATTCAACAGGTTTTTACTGTTGAGCACACCAAACTTGCCTCACTAGATGCGTTTACATTAGTGCCTTAACCCTAACCCCACCCCC